TAGTGGTTTTTGGTATATTCAGTTTTGTAGGAATATGCTATCCAAGCTCAGAACCCATTCAGCACCCCTGAAAGAAGCGCTGTTCCCTTTAGAGTCCCTTGCATTTCCTTCCACTCTCCCAGCCTTAGGCGGCCACTAACTGATTTTCTGCATATGGATTGGCTGTTTATGGATGTTTTTTATGAATAGAATCAGACAGTATGTGGTCTTTTGTGACTAAATTCTTTATTTGACATCATATTTTCAAAGTTTGCCCATATTAATGTATTTTTCAGTACATGATTCTTTTGGTGGCCACTTGGTTATTTTTACTTTTTTTTAAAATTTTATTTAAGGAGAAAAAGAAAAAAAAAGCAGAAAAGGGGTACAAGTTATACAGAATTTCAGAAAAAAAAGTAGGAAATCACTAATGGATTACATATTGTCATCTTAGAAATATTTGTTCAAGTTACAAAATTAAAGCATATAAAGTGGACATTCAAACAGTGAGACTGCAAAGAGTTCTGTTCAATGATCCAACAAAACTCAGTAATATCATTGTCTATCTTATACACTTAAATATACATGCAGTTATATCGTTTAGAGCACTTTCTTTTCCTCTCTTTTGTACAATGACTATTACACATTTTGGGTTTTATTGCTCCCACAGTTCTTATTACTTTTTTTGGAAGAGAGTAAAACCAAATGTGACATAACAGGACAGAGTCGGTCAAATCAAAAGGGTGGACATAATAGATAATGTAAAAACATAATATAAGGTGATCAACAATGGTTATCATAATGCCTCCCGCTATCTCAAATAGAGTTGCCTATATCATCAGTTATAATAAAATTGAACAAAACAGTAAAGAACGAAACCAACAAAACCAAAACATTGGAGACATTACAGGTCTTCAAAAGTAGATAATAGTCAACCAGAATGGGCGTCATAATGAATCCCACTATCTTCACAGCTGTTGCCTAAACTTTCGAACCTGGCACTATCAAGCAAAACAGAATAGAGGAACATCAGTCAAAACAAGATGGTGAGAGCAATACAGGGCTTTAAATCAAGTTAATAAAAAATCAAAGTGGGTTACTATAATATATCCTGCTTTTAAATTTATTTTTCCCTTAATTAAAAGGATAAAAATAAAAAAGTAAATAATAAAATGGAGATTGAGATAAAAGAGGGCATAACAACAAAACCGCAGATCAAAACATAACCATTTAAGCAAAATAGTGTTTCACCACAAGATAATCCCAACATAAAAGTAGTTACCATATTGTCTCTTTCCTTGAAATCTTTGAGTATAACTTCATATACTGTAACATCAAATATATCAAAACAATGTAAAACCAATCAAGAGAATGACAGTATTACAGGGTATTTAGAATCAACTATCAGAAAATGAACAATGGTTTCTGTATAATCTCCTTGTCTATAAAAGTTTTTGTTTATACTATCACATATAATAAAATCCAATAAGATACAACATGTTAAGACCTATGGAGACAGAAGAACAAAAGCTTGATGGGACTTCAAAACAAGATGATACTAAATCAGCATTACCTATTATGACATTTTTTTCTCCAAAATAGCTGTTCCTATCATCCAATCTTCTCTGCCTCATTTCTGTTGAGCTCTTTTTCTGTCATTAGTTGTCAGTTTGTCTTCTTCATTTTGTTTTCTGCTCCATTCATTGTGGCCTGTCTGCCACTGTTTCTGGATTCTTCATTTTTTTCTTTTTTAGAATATCCTGCAGTATTCTCTGTAGACTTGAATTGGTGGTTGCATATTCCCCTAGTTCCTCTTTATCCTGGAAGCACCTTGTTTTTCCATCAATTTCCAGGGATAGTTGTGCAGGATATATCAATCTTGGCTGGAGGTTATTACCTTTCAAAGCTTGAATTATTTCCCCCCACGCTCTTCGTGATTTGATGGTTTGTGCCGAGAAGTCTGCTGTAATTCTGATGGGTATTCCCTTGTAAGTGATCTGTTTCTTGTCTCTGATGGCTTTTAATATTCTGTTCTTATATTGGATTTCTGGTATTTTGATTATTATATGACTGGGTGTAGTTCTGTTTGGATTGTAGGTGGCTGGGGTCCTGTATGCTTCATACATCTGAGTATCTTTACCTTTTGCTAAATTAGGAAAATTCTCCTGGATTATTTCTGCGAGTAGCTTTTGTAGTTCATTTGTTTGTGTCCCTACCTCTTCTTTTATGTTCTTAATTCTTAAGTTATAGATCCTCTTATCATCTTCTAGTCTTTGTATTATTGCTGTTGGTTTCTTTGTTATTTTTAAGAAGTTTTTCATTTCATGCTCTCATATTACAAATCTGCCCTCCAGTTCAGATAATCTATCCTTAGTTTCTTTCAAGCTGTTATGCCAGTTTTCGATAGAGTTTTTAGTTTCCTGGTAATCTCTTTGAACCTGCTTCACATATTCTATGTTTTCTCTATTTTTCTCCATTAAACAATTCTCCCCTCTTTTTCTGTTCTTCCATTCCATCATCTGTTTTTTCTTGGGTGGTGCTTAGCATTTCTCTAACTATTCTGCTTATGTCTTGCTTCAGGTCATTAATAACTTCGTTCCTGAACTCATCTATGAGGCTCTGTAGATAGCGCTTTATGTCTATTGGTGCCGTGTCTGCTATTGTGTGTTTCTCAGGATTGGGGGCCAAGGAGCCTTTCTTGTTGCTCCCTCTTCCCATATTCTTTGTTCCTTATATATGCAAGCATATATAGGAGGCCCAGCTTCCTTCCCTGTCGGCCACAGTCTGATTGAATTGCGCTGGCTAGCTGTTCTGGCCCACCACAGTGCACTGGGCAGCCTATGCAGGGCCCGCCCCTCCAGGTCAGCCTACTGAAGGCCTCACCGCTAGGGTGCACCTCCAGGCGCTGGGACCTGGGTTGTGCTAGCCTACTGGGTCTCAGCCAGCAGCGTCACGTAGGCTAGGCACTGCTTACCAATCCCGCTTGAGAGGGGGATATGTGACTGAAGTCACTACAGCACCCTGTTCCAGCAAGTCTGCCAGGTCCCAGAATGTCCTCTGTTGGTGCCTCCTAGACCGTGGGAGAGTCCAAGTTTCCCTCACTCACCGTAGGTCGATGCACGGCTTCCCGCCCATCCTGCCCATCCTGCTCTCAACTCCATTCACTGATTTCCATTCTCAGAGCTTTCATGCGTCTCCCTCCCTGCTGAGCCGATTCAGACACAGCAGTGGTGGCAGAAAACTCAAATCGCCTATTTTTATTTTTTGACTGTTAAGAATAGTGATAGTATGTATATTCATGTACAAGTTTTTATGTTGCTGTGCATTTTCATTTCTCTTGGATTCTACCTACATGTGAGATCTCTGGGCCATGTGGTCATTTTATGTTTATATTTTATTTTATTCTATTTTTGTGTACTGAACCTAGGACTTTGTACATGATAGGCAAGTGCTATACAAGCGAGCTGTAAGTTTATTTATTTAAGATAGGGTCCTTTAATTTGTATATGCTGGCCTTGAACTTGCACTCCTTCTGCATCTGCTTCCCCAGCTGAGAGTATACCAAGCTATGTTTAACATTTTTGTAGACCGGAACCTGGGGGGGGGGGGGTTGATACAATGTCTCACTGTATAGTTCAGGCTAGCCTTCAACTCCTTATGTAGCCCAGGTTGACCTGAGCTTGCAGCAACCCTACTGCCTCAGGCTTCTAAGTGCTGGGATGACAACAGGCAAGTGCCATCACCTCTGGTCCAAAGTGGGATCTAGACACTTGTATGAATTCTGTACGCTGGATAGGTGTTTTGAATTGGCATATGGTATAATCCTTTAAATTCTAGATATCTTGATTGGCTAAGTTCTGACTTGTAAAGTGGTTCTATAAAAACACTTACTTGGCTGGATAATGAAAGAAAGGAGATACAACTAGAGAGGAAACAGCAGAGAGGAACCTGGGAAAATAAAAATGGCCTTATAAACTGATGACATTGCACTTGTCAGGCAGGTGCTTATGGCCCCTAAGCTAAATTCCCAACCCCAATTCCAGATTCTTTAAGTCTTAAGAGTTCCATTTCGAAACACTTCCATAGATAATTCATTCGGTGCAATTTTAGTTGCTATTCACCTAGTAATAGCATGTTGATATTACCATTCTGCGTATTTCCCATTACAGCTAAATGGGAATTTTGAAAACAGAGTTATTCATTCTTGTTCCTTTGATAGGACTAGTAGCACTTGTTTTCATGTTGTTATCTTCACAAAATTACTTTGACTTTTCACCTAAGTATGCTTAGCTACTGTGGTTCTTGAATTTGCGGTTCTGATGGAGTAGTTCGGCGCAAGATTGCATATATAAGCAGGAGCTTGAGGGTTTTTGTTTTTTTCCTTTCCAACTCCATTGGTTTACTGCATGTTACACAAAACCTGAGTGTAGTAACTGCCTACCTAACTCCCTATGATTGGCTAAAGTCATTATTCTTTGTTGCCTAATTCACTGGGAAACAAAGAACAGTTAAAGAGGAAATAAAAAATACACTATTTATACAGGCGTGTACAATCCTTTAAACTCCATTGTTTGGAGTGTAGGGGGCCCACAGTAGTGGATTTTTTTTTTTTTTTTTTTTGGTTTTGTTTTGCTTTCTTTTTTATTGTTTCATTTTTGTCCTGGGGATTGCTTCATGGTTAGTAGCCACATGCATTAATCATTGAGTTACATTACCAACCCAATAGTTCTTAATTTGGGATCCATGACTGGTTTCTGAAGTTTTACATTGTACGTGTGTGTGTGTGTGTGTGTGTGTGTGTGTGTGTGTGTGTTTTAATAATTATGAATTTCTATGTGTATTTTTCTGGGGAAGGATTCACCAGCCGGTCGACAGCTGGAAGTTACCAACTTCGTTACTAGTTCATGACAGGTTTACAAAAGCATTAAATCCTTCCGGTGCTCACACTGACCAGGGAAAACTTGAGCCTCTGTTCCCTTAACAAAAATGGCAGGAGCTGCTTCTCACGCAGCCCCTCACGCAGAAACTCTTAAGAGGCCCTCTCCACTCTCCCTTCACTGTCTCACACTTGACCCCGGAAGAACTCCGCCTCCCGCAGCCCGCGCCGCTGCTCAACGCCAGGCTGCAGCAGAGAAGGCAGCCGTGAGCGGGCTGTACCTTGCCTGGGGCGACAGGTATGGGGGCGGGAAGAAGGAACACCGTGGGGGGCGGGGCGAAGGCCACTGGGCGAGGAGGGCGGTGAGCAGGCGGAGGCGCGCGTAGTCTGGAGTCCGCATGGGAAGAGCAGGAGGCCCCGCGTCGGAACGAGGCAGGGGCCAAGCCAGGTGGGCGCGGCGCGGCTAAAAGACTGAGGGAGGGACGGCGGCCGGGCAGGGTCATTTCGCGTCCGTTCCAGAGGAGTGGAGCGGGCGCGGGTCTGCAGAGCCGTGGGCGGCGGCGGGGCGCAGGGTGGAGGACTCGCTGCCTCGCAGAATCGCGGCAGCGGGGAGCAATTTTGTGAGCAGTGATTACATCTGCAGTATTTTCCGGAGGAAGTGTTCCAAGAGCTTTATTATTTGGTTATTTTAAACTAATATTTTTCTACCTTTGAAATGTCTTCTCAGGGTTCGACTGTACAGATTTATATTATGGGTCAGATTTTCTTGGTATTTCAGGCTTTATTTGTTGGGTTAGAAGGTCAAAATTGTAGAACAGAATTTTAGGGTTTTAAAAATACTGTTTTTTAAAACAGGTTTTAAGGGGGCTGGGGATTTAGCTCAGTGGCATAAGTGCCTACCTTGCAAGCAGGCAGTCATGAGTTCGATCCCCGGTACCGATAAAAAAGAAAACGAAAAAAATTAAAAAAAAATAAAACATGTTTAAAAATTCTGTTTATGACATTTATTAACTCCTCAGTGGTTGGAATAGAAAGAATCGGGGAACATCACAAAGCACAATATTTTTGGTGATGTTTAAGACTCTTTTACAAATCTCAATAATCTTCAGTACAACCAAAAAATGATTTAAAAAATTTTTTTATTAGTACATTTTGCAGTACATAGTGATTACACTTGTCTCGGGGATTTGGCACATGTACCTAACACTGCTTAGTTATTTTTACTTCCTCTTTCTCTTTTCCCTCCCCATTTAAAGTCTTTAAAAGAACTATTTAAAAAATTAAAGCGTTCATTTTTCTTTTCTTTTTCCTCTGCATAAAATCTTGTAATGCTTTATTATGGGGAAAATCTGAGTGATCTATTCTGAGTGTTTTTCTTTATTTTGTTGTTGTACAGTAACTTAGAAAATCACTTATTCGTTTAATTAGAACTTCTCAAAAAAGAAATTAATTTTTAGGGAAGAAGAATAAATGTGCTCTGCTTTACTGTAGTATTTTTAAATTGTGTTTTATCTAGGCAGTTATTTTACAAAATAGTAAATATTATAGAAACATAACAAAAGCAGTGGTTCCTTGCCTAGCCTCCCAGCATCCCTGGACTTATTTCTCCATGGGGATATTTTTCACTGATTCAATTGCTTAATTGTGATTTTTCCTGGGCTTTTTGTTTGTTTGTTTTTGTACCAGGAATTGAACTCAGGATCTTATGCTTGCCAGGCAGGTACTGTGTCGTTGAGCTACATCCCCAGTCCTGTATTTCTCAAGATGGTGTTGTGTTATGTCTTTAGCACTGTTTGTTGTTTGGAATAAGTATACTTAGATTAGAATGAGTTACATAGAGTCTACAAGTTGTACTATGGAGCAGATGGGTGTGGCATGAAGTTCACACAGCAGTGTCACTGTGAGGATTTGCGTAGGTGATAGCAGTAGTAACCTAATCCTAAGAGCTGTTTCTGTGTCTTATTTTTATTTTCTTTTTGAAATTATGTAGCACTATCTGAATTTGATTGGTATAAATATTATAGCTTCCTCCTTCATTTACTAGAGAGTTCTTGATCCTTTTCTTTCTTTTTTTTTTTTTTTTTTTTTTTTCTTTTGAGCCAGGCTCTTGATCTGTAGTTCAGGCTGGACTTGAACTCAAGACAATCCTCCTGCCTCAGCCTCCTGAGTGTTGGAGTTATAAGCGTGTGCCACGGTGCCTGTCAGGAACCATCATGTTGTATGAAGTCTTCTACCTTAAGGACCTCTCAGTGACATCTGCTTCTCTTAAAGTACCAGAACTTTTGTGGCCGGGCACAGTGGTGTACACCTATAGTCCTGAGCCCAGGAGTTAGTGACCAACCTGGATAATACAGGGAGACCCTGTGTCTTTAAAAAAAAAAAGTTAAATACCTGCCTTTTCTTTTTTCAGTTTCAAGAGAAACAGCATGTATTAAACTGTCAAAATCACATAGCGTGGTTTCTTTGAAGACTTTCAAAATGGAATAGCAGGAGAATCGGAAGCTCAGTCACTGAATTCTGAGTTTCTTTTCCAGCCCCTGAAGCCTGTCCCAGATTCCATTTAGCAATCCCCACCTCCCCTTTTACCATAGCATGCAGGAAATCAGTGGGAAAATTTTAAATTACTACCTATCTAAAGCTAATAAGGGGCTGGGGATTTAGCTCAGCGGCATAAGTGCCTGCCTTGCAAGCAGGCAGTCGTGAGTTCAATCCCTGGTACCGATAAAAATCAAAAAGACCAAAAAAATAAATAAATAAATAAATAAATAAAGCTAATAAATACATTTAGCCAGAAAAGGGAAAATCTAGAACCTGCAGTTCTCTAAAGAATATTTTTGCCTGAACTCAGTTGTTTTTTTTTTTTTTTTTTTTTTCTGTTTTCCTCTTTGGCATTTATTTTTTATTTTTTTTATCTTTTTTAAGATCGGTACTGGGGATCGAACTCACAACCACCCGCTTACAAGGCAGGTGCTTATGCTGCTGAGCTAAATTCCCAGCCCATCCCCTTTGGCATTTTAATTTAGTTCATTTTCATCACTTTTGGGCTATTTGACGAACAGCCAAGATTGGCTCTTCTCATTGGCTGCTTCGATGATTAATAAATATAATTTCATCTCAGGTATAATATTATGAATAACTGATACACAAAAACTGATGGTTCAGAATTTACTTTGTATCTTTCACTGGTAAAAAAAAAAAAAAAAAAAAAAAGTAACCAGAAATCTTCCTGGCTAATAAATGTTTCTGTTTTGTTTAGTGAAGACTGAAAGAAGAGTCATGTCAGAGGAAACTGTAGGCCAATCACAGTTTTCCTTGAGGACGGCAGTACTCAAAGTGTTCGATCTCCCTCTGTCTTGGTACTGTTCTCTCTCTCAGGTAAGCACAGGAAGCAGATAGGAAGCTCAGTGGTAGCTGGTCATGTGAGCCTGCTTACGTGATGAGATTTCAGTTTTAGCTGAGGATCAGTCATGTGGTTGGTTGGTACTGGGACTTGGACCCAGCACACTTCACATATGCAATCCGGTGTGCACCCACTAAGCTCCGCCTCCTGGACACAAGGTTCTCTGGTTTGAAGGACCCTTGGGTTGTTTCCACTTATCCGCTATGATGAGTAATGCTCTTGTGAACATGGATGTATGAAGACCCTGCCTTCAATTCTTATGACTGTACCACAATACAATTGCTAGTTTTTCCTGCTCAAGGAACTGGCCTGCTGTGTTTTACTTTCCTCCTTGGGGTTTTCTATTTTGATAATAGCCATCCTGATGGGCTGGAGTGGTTCCTCATTGTGGTTTTCATTTACATGTCTGTGATGCTTGGTAAAGTTGAGCATATTTTCATGTTGTACACATTCACATTATTTTGTTGTTGTTATTGAACTCACGACCCCGTGCTTGCATGGCAGGCACTTATGATGCTGAGCTAAATCCCCAGTCTTTTAGTTTCATGTTGTAATTGGCTATTTCTATCTTGTTTGGAGAAATGTCTGTTGTTTATTTTTAGTTTGGTTTTAGTGTTGAGCTTTAAGAATTCTTGTATATTATGAATATTGATCTCTGTTAGATACATGATTTCTTCCCAGTGTGATGGCACATATCTGAAATCCTAGCGCTCAGGAGGCTGAGGCAGGAGGATCTCTGTGAGTTCAGGGACAGCCTTCGATACATAGTGTGTTTGAGACCAACCTGAACTACAGAGGGAGACCCTGTTGCCAAAAAGTAAAGAAATAAAAAAGGATACATAATTTCCAAATATTTCTCCCCATTTTGTGGGTTCCCTTTTTGTGGATTGTTCATAGTGTTGTTTGATGTTTAAAAGTTTTTAAAATTTCAAGTTCATCTTGTCAGGTCTTTCATTGTGTGTCATATCTTTCATTTTAGTGTCATATCTAAGAAATCATTGCCAAATCTACTGCTGTAAAGTTTTCGGTCTTTTATTCAGGTCCTTATTTTGAGTTAATTTTTTCTACCTTTACTGTTTGCCATATAAAAGTCTAGTTTTTCCAGCATCATGATTGAAGCCTCCTTTTCTTATTAAATGATTTTGCACTTTGTCAAAATCCTTTGATTGTGTGTATGAAGGTTTCTTTCTGGGCTCCCTGTCATTTTCTGTTGGTGTATATGTCTGTCAGCGTGGCTAGTTTGTTTATTGTCTTTGCCATTAAAACTATGTTGAATTTTGTCAAGTGTTTTTTCTCTTTTTTTTTAATTAAAGAAGTTTATTGGTACTATTTAGGCATCTGGAATACCTTGATTTGTCTTTTTTCCCCTTCCAACTCTCTCTACCTTCCTTCAACCCCTCTTTCCCCTCCTTATTTATAAAGCTTTGTTTCCATTTTATCCTCCTTTTCTCAGTTTGGTGTGTGTAGTACTAGAGATTTATTAATGCTTTACATTCCTCCACCCTCCCCCAATCTCTTTTTGAATTTGGAGACAGGATCTTGTTAAGCTAAGGTAGGAGGTTGCCTCACCTGGGCCTGAACTTGGGACTGTCTTGTCTCAGCTTCTCAGAGTGCTGGAATTATAGGTTTGTGTCACTATGCTTGGATGTTAAATGCTTTTCCTTTAGTGGAAATGACCATATGGTTGTATTTTCTTCATTATATTAACGTGATATATTATACTGATGTTTTGCGTTGAACCATCCTTGTATTCCAAGAATACATTTCACTTAGTCATAATGTATAATCGTTTTGATACACTGATGAATTTTGATTTGCTAGCATTTTGCATCAGTGTTCATAAGGGTATTGGCCTTTAGTTTTCTTATATCTTGTTTGGTTTTTTTTTTGATAGTACTGAGGATTGAGTCCAGGGACACCACCAAGCTATATCCCCAGCCTTTTCTTGCATTTTGTCTTTTGTTTTGAGGTAGTATCCTTAAGTCTTGACTTTGAGAGTCTCCTTACTCCGTGTTCCAAGGAGCTGGGATTACAGGTGTGCCCCACTGTGCTTGGTTTTTGTCATCCTTAGTGTAGCTAGGCCATCAGGGAAATTGTTGGCTTTGTAGAGTGAGATAGGAGGTGTTCACATGTGTTCACATTCTTTTTGCTATTTTCTTTTTTCTTTTTGAGACAAGGGCTCATTATGTAGTTCAGGCTGGCCTTGAACTCATTATGGAGCCCAGGCTGGCTTCAAAGTCTCAGCAATCCTCAGCCTTCTAAGTGCTGGCATTACTCCCTTTTTTACTTTATTAAAATACTGAGTTTATTTCACACGTTCCTTCTTCCTTTTCTTGTTTCTCTCTCTCTCTTTTTTTTTTTAGAAGACAGGGTCTCAGTATGTATTCTAGGATGGCTTCGAACTCATGATTCTCTTGGCTTAGCTTGCTGTTTGCTGAGATTATAGGTGTTTACCACCATGTCTGTCTGTCTTTTTTTTTTTTTTTTTTTTTTAATCATTTTGAGACTGGCTTTCACTATGTAGTTCAGGCTGGCCTTGAACTCGGTTTATAGCCCATACTGCCTTGGAACTTGGAGCAGTCCTCTTGCTTCAGCCTTCTGAGTGCTAGAATCATGTACTACCATGCCCCACCTGGCTTTTCTTTTTTCTTTTTTTTTTTTTGGTGGCTACCAGGAATCAAAGTCAGGCACCGTACCACTGAGCTATATCCCTGACCCCTGACTTTTCTTTCTTTTTTTTTTTTTTTTGGCTTTTCATTTTTTAAGAAACTATTTTATTAATTTAAATGTTTAGTATGATTCAGGTTCAGAGCTTTTCTTTGTTGGGAAACTTTTGATTACAGATTTAGTCTATCAGTGAAAGTGAGCTTTTTTTCCTATACCTATCAGTCATTTGTGTGTTCACATGTGAGAAGATACTGAGAATATCTATTTAGGTTGATTTTTTGTTTTGTTTTTGGTGGTGGTGGTGGTAGTTGAGAGTTGACCCCAGGGTCTTTATATCCTGCCAAAGAGCTATACCTTTCCTTTATCCATTTTTGATCAAATAACTAGATTTTTTTTTTTTTTTTTTTGCTACTGAGTTGTTTTTTGTTTTTTGTTTTTCATAACTGGGATTGAACTCACAACTTCACACCTGCCAGGCAGATGCTCATGCCACTGAGCTAAATTCCCGGCCCAACTGCTCAGTTTTTTGAGTTCATTATATTTCTGGATATTGAGTTTTTATCAGCTGCTCACTTTCAGATTTTTCTCCCATTCTGTTGGTTGTCATTTCCTTGTGATGGTGTCTCCTTTGCTGTGTAGAAGCTGTTTATTTATTTATTTACTTTTGGTGCGAGGGATTGAACTCACGACCTTGTGTATGCCAAGCAGACACTTACGCTGCTGAGCTAAATCCCCAGCCTAGAAGCTTTTTAATTTGATGTATTTGCCTGTTTTTGCATCCTTTGTGCTTTTGGCATTTTGTCCAAAAGACCATCACCCATTTTGGTGTCCTAAAGCATTTCCCGTATTTTCTTCTAGTCTTTTTATATTTCAGGTTTAAATAGATTAAACTTTTACTCACAGTTTTACTCATAATTTTGTTATTCTAAATGTTGGATAGATTACTTACCCTGCACTATGTTTTGGAAATACTGTTTTTCTCCAGTGTGTGTTCTTAGCATCATCAGTGAAAATAATTTGACTGTGGATGAGTAGGTTTAGGTTCTGTCTGCTGTTGGTCTCTATGTGTTAACCTTTATGCCAATGCCATGCTGATTTGATGATTACAACTTGGTAGTGTACTTAGTGTGGTGCCTATTGCTTTGTTCTTTTTGCTCAAGTTTGCTTGGGCTGTGTGAGGTTTTTGTTTCCACAGAAATTTCAGGATTGTTTTTCTAGTTCTGCAAAGAATGTTATTGGTCTTTTGGTTGGGGTTGCTTTTGGTTGGGTTGTAGATTGCTGTGGGTAGTGTGGATATTTTAACAGTATTTATTTGTCCAGTCTATGAACAATGATATGTTTTTCCATTTTCATGTATGCATGTGTCCTCTTCAGATCGTTTAAATCAATACTCTATAGGTGTTTTTGTTTTTTTTTTTTTTGTCTTTTTCATGCTTTATAGGTTTCATTTTAGAGATCTTTTACTTCTTTGGTTAAATTTATTTCTGTTTTTTTTTTTTTTTTTTTTTTTTTTTGTACCAGGGTTCAAACTCACAACTGTGCACTTGCAAGGTAGGCCCTTACGCTGCTGGGCTAAATCCTCAGCCCTTAGGTTTTTTTTTTTTTTTTGTAAGTATCATAAAGTTTTTTTGTAACTACCACCAAAATGGGATTGCATTCTTTATTTCTATTGCAGATAATTGGCTATTGATATATACTAAGACTACAGACATTTTTATGTTGACTGAATTTTTATAAATTATTAGTTCTAATATTTTTGGAGTCTTTGAGATTTTCTGTATTATAAGATCATATCATGTGCAAACAGTGGTAATCTTTTTCTTTTCCAATGTGGAAGGCTTTTCTTTCTTTCTCTGTGTGATCACTCTGGCTAGCACTTCTGTGTTAAGTAAAAAGTGCTGAAAGTGGCCTTCTTACCTTGTTTCAGATCTATAAAAGCTTTCAGTTCAGTATAAAGTTAGCCGTTGGTTTATTGTATATGGCCTTTGTTATGTTGAGATACATTTCTTTAAAACACCGTTCAGTGTTTGGGCTTGTTTGGTTTGGTTTGGTTTGGTTTTCTGAGACTGTGCTTGCTATGTAGTTCAGGTTGACCTTGAACTCACTACATAAAACAGACTGGCCTCAAACCCATGGTGATTCTCCTGCCTCAGCTTCCTGAGCCCATGGGAGGTTTTTAGGTCACTGAGGGGATGAACGCCTTTGAAGCGGGTATGGGACCAGCTTGTGCGGTTCCTCTTCCTGCCCGTGAGGCAGTGGCATTGCTCCATTGTATTCTGCCTAATAACACACAGCCTTATCCAGGGCAGCAGGGCTGGTGGTCATGGACAGACCCCTCTGTGCCTGTGAGCCCTTCTTTTCCTTTATGCGTGAGCGTCTAGGGTGTTGCTATAACAGCAGAAATGAACACAGATCTCTCTGGGAAGCTAGCTCAAGGTGGGATGACTTAACACTACTGTTCGTTGATTTTTTTCTGGATGATCTGGATTCAAGAAAAGTTGAGAACGTGGCCATTTTTCTGGCTTCATTTTGTGCTGTAAGGTGGCGGCCCAGCTCTCTGTGAGCTCCATCTGACTGGCCAGGGCGTCTCTGCTGCTGTTTTGCTGCTTGAGGAGGGCAGCGCCCTGAGCCCTGGGGTGCTCAGTTCTGGGTGCTTAGTGAGGATGGTGACACGAAGGCTCAGTGCCTAGCTTGTGCCTGATTCTTCGTGAAACTCTGAGTAAATATTTGTTGAATGATTTAGGCATAAAATGACTTATTTGTGTGGTATTTAGAAATTTATTTCCAGATTTTAAAAAAATGGCTCAGTGTAAAGTTTTCAGAATTAAATCAGCATAAAATGATTTTCAGAATTAAAAAATCTTAAAAATCTTGCCATGACTGAGAAGATTTGGTTATGTTAATTAATTATTATTGCTCAAAACACTGCTCATGGAATCAAATTGTTTTGTTCTCCCATTTATGGGGGTAATAATGTTTACTTGAGAACTTTGGAATACTGAGTAGTAATTATTCCACTTACTGAGTGCTGGGACCAAGACCAGGACCTCCTGTGTATTTGCAAGCACTTTACCTCTCAGCTACACCCTGGCCCAATTATTATGTCAAAAAAAAATTTTTTTTTTTTTTGGTCTTTTTGGTTTTTATCGGTACCAGGGATCAAACTCACGACTGCCTGCTTGCAAGGCAGGCGCTTATGCCGCTGAGCTAAATCCCCAGCCCCCTTGTCAAAAAATTTTTTAAAGAAAAAATTGGGCTATCACTGGAAGAGTAAATTTATAGTATCTTTGAAGTTCTTGCATGTAGGATAGATTAAAAATCAATGGTTTTTAATGCCCTTATTTTTAGTGAACAAAGTGAAAAATAATTTTTTCTTTTTTAAAACTAAGTATGTCTCTTCCAGATCAAATTTTCACCAATAGCTAAAAAGTTGTTTGTGGTAACTGCAGTGAGTGCTGTATCTGTAATTTTTCTGGCCCATCATTTTAAAAGAAGACGTGGGAAAAAGAAAGCAAAAATCTTCCCGTGGGAACCAGAGCACCTCCTGCTTGAATATGCTAGAAGAGCGGCATCAGATAAAGGTATGTGGGAATAGCTCAGTTAAGTGTGCAGGAGAAATCGTGTGTGTGAACCATGGCTGCAGTGCAGTGTTTCAGTGTTTTAGTCCAACACACTCTTCCTAGTTATTTAACTCACTAGTGATGGAGAACATCTTAGAAGCCTGGCATGGTGCATGCCTATGATCCTGGCACTCTGGGAAGCTGAAGCAGAGGGATTGATTACCTGGACAGTTTAGTGATTTAGTAAGGATCTCTCTCAAAATAAAAATAGGGTGAGGGTGTGGCTCAATGTGAAGACTCTGGGTTTAATATTCAGTAGTGTCAAAACCAAAAGACCTGTAACAGATGCATTTTATAGAAAGATTAGCACATAACAGATAAGTCAACAGAAAAAATCATTTGAAATTCTGCCAGGAAATAACTCCTGAAGACACTTTTGAGATATATATGTATATCGTAGTTTTTTATTTTAAAGAATTTTAGTGGTACATTTTAGATCTACATAATGACAACATTCCTCATAGGGAATTTGTACCTGTATGTGATACATCTTGCTTCTTTTTTTCTTCCCATTCCTTTCCCCTCCCTTCAACCCCTCATTATTTACAAAAGCTTTATTTCCATTTTTTACCTTCTGTTCTTTTTTTCTTGCCCTTTCTTTCCTTTGCCCTTCCCCCTCTCTTCTTCCCTCCCCACTTGGACATTTTCTTCTCACTTCTCAGTACCTATCACAAATTTTGGTTCTTATTTATACATTTGGTTTCTCACACCAGAGAGAGTGTTCTATTTACACACATGTCCAATTTATTTCATTTAAGAGTATGGTCTCAAGGTGCAGCTTGTGATGTGTGACTATCTGTTGCTTTATATTTATGTTTAAGTATCATATTGAAATAAATTTGATATTTGAATCAATTTGATATATTAATCATACTGAATACAATTTGATATATGTAAATAAGTTTATATATATGTTTTTTGTTTTTTGAGACAGAATCTTGATGTGTAATTCAGGCTGGCCTTGAGCTTACTATGTAGCTCAGATGGGCCTCAAACTCATGGCTACCCTCCTACCTCAGCCTCCCAATGCTATATTACAGGTGTACACCTCCACACCCAGCTTTGTTATTTGTTTTTTTTTGTTTTGTTTTGTTCTGTTTTTTTTTTTGCAGCAGGGATTGAACTCATGACCTACCATTTGCCAGGCAGTTGCTTATGCCACTGAGCTACATTTCCAGCTACAACTTTGTTATTTGTATATTTAAAGTAAAATTGCCCCATATTTTATAATCTGTTTTTAGTATATTTGACAATGTACAAGAAAGTTTTTCCAGGTCAATAAATATGTATCTGTGTTACCTTTTTCCTTTTTGTCTTGTCTCTTTGAGACAGGGCTTCACTATGCAGTTCACTATGCTGGCCTTGAACTCACGGTGTTCCTTGTGCCTCAGCCTTCCCCGTGCTAGAATTATAGGCATGCAGTGCCACCACATTGGCCTATATGCTATTATTTTTAATATGGAATTAGTGTTAAATTTGTACACATGCAGCTGTGTGGGAAGGACAGTTCTGTGGGGGGAAATGTGTAATCCCAGCACTTAGAAAGCTAAGGCAAGAGGATTACTGTGAGTTCAAGGCCAGCCTGGCCTCTAAAGTGAGTTCAAGACCAGCCTGAACTATATAGTAAAACCCTATCTCAACAAAACAAAAAGGCCAGAAATTCTTGTAGGATATTAAATACTAAGGAAAAAGGCAAATACATGCAAAACAAGAAAAACACAAATATCCTAAATGAAACAAAGGGAAATGGTTAGATAAATTAAGTACCACACCCAGTTGAATTTCTGGCATTTTAAAGGGTTTGAGAGGCTGAGGCAGGAAGGTTGAAGCAAGTTTCAAGGCAATCTATGCTTCATATTGAGTCTGAGCCCAGCCTGAACTATATAGTGAGACCCTGTCTCAAAACTGGGGAATGGGGAGTACAAAAAAAGAGGGGGTTGTGATTTTGTTAGAGATATGGACATACAAGGGTTTTTTGTTTTTGTTTTGTTTTTTTTGATACTGGAGCTCAAACTCACGAACTCATGCTTGCCAGGCAGGCACTTCTGCTGATGAGCTAAATCCCCAGCCCCTGTTAGAGATATGTATTGCTGCATTGTACCAATAAAAATAATTTTGTAAGTGTGCTAGGTACTTTAATGCCCCATGCCTGTTACCAAGGTTTAAATCCAGTGCCTCCCACAGAGCTACACCCCAAACCTTTTCATGTTTTATTTTGAGCCAGGATCTTGCTGTGTTACCCAATTTGGCCTGGGACTTGGCCTGTCTCCTACCTCAGTGTTTCAGGTGTCTCTAACTCCAGGTGTATGCCCTTGTGCACAGCTTCTTGGCTCTTTATTATTTAATTTGTGGTATGATTTTGTCATGCATTTTTATAAGCTTTTCTCTATACAGATTTATTGAGGGTAAAATTCCTTGTACAAGGTAACCTGGACCTGCTCCCCAAAATGTGATCCTTTCCTGCTAGTATCCTAATAAGTTGGTTAAAAAGCAGCTTCCTCTAAAATAAGTAGAAAAATACTTATTTTCACCTTTGTACATCAGGTGAATGGCCTAGTCACTGGGACTGTAATAGTTGTATGAGGTACTTAACAGGCAGGACTGAGTCCCAGTGGAGGTGCTGAAGAACCCTCAGGAGACCTTATTCCATGCACCGCCACTGTTGTTTCTTTTTGGATCCTAGTGTCCCCGTTAGCTGCTTTGAAACACACCACAGGAAGAGCAGTTTACCTGCTTGCCGAGCCAGAACAGTTATCACCACAGCAGCCTGCCCACTGTGGGAGCCCCATGGCACCCCAGATCATGTCCTGTGAGTCTGCACCTGGGACTCCTACAGAGGATGGAGTCTTCATTGTGCCCCCCAAGTGATGCTCTGAAGTCGCTTCCATCCTCCGGGCTATTGCCCCCAACCTTTTGTCATTTGTTTTTAGTGAGTGACTATTTGTGCAGCAAATGTTATAGTAATGGTCACTGTTATTTACTGGTATTTTATTCAATCTCAATGAAGTGCTATATGTAGTGCTTTATTTAACTTTCACTGCAGTTCTGTAATTTAGGACTACAGCTTTATGTTATTCTTCCTGTTTTATACATAAGGAAAATTGAAATATGTAAAAGTTAAATGACTGATTGAAGGCCATATAATTGCATTTGAATCCGGGTCTTAACTGCTTTGTTAAGAAAAACTAAGACATGATGTGTGCCCTAGAGGGATGGGTAGATGGGTAGAGGAAACAATATTAAAAACTAAATATGCTTTGTAATCCCAGCACTCTGGGAGTCTGAGGCAGGTGGTTTCCAAGAGCCCAGTCTGGGCAGTTAGTAGTTTAGTAATACCCTGTTTCAGAACACACAAAGGAAGCTGGATGTGGTGGCGCACAACTGTAATCCCAGCATTTGGGAGGCTGGAGCAGGAGGATCATTACAAATTTGAGACCAGCCTGAACTACTACAAAGTGAGTGGCCACAGTGCAGCAAGACCCTGTCTCAAAAACAACAAAACAACAATAACAATGGGGGGATTTAGCTCAGCGGCATAAGTGCCTACCTGGCAAGCATTAGGTCATGAGTTCAATTCCCAGTACCACAAAACAAACAAACAAACAAACAATAACAACAACAACAAAACCCCACAAATGAAACCCCTAAATACAATATAATACAATAGAGATAAGGCTTAGATGTATTTCAGGAAAAGAAATGCTTATATTTTAAATTTATTTATTTTTACCTGAAGATTATGGTTTAATATATTTTAAATTTATAATTTGAAGATTCACAGTTGTCAATATTTTTATATTTTTATGTTGATTATAATAGACCAGTCCAAACCATCCTGATTAATCAGGCAAATGCTTCACTCTTCATTGCAGAAGGGGATTTTTAGCAGTGTTACTGTATTCATTTATGTTTTGGTACAGATTGATTAAAAATCAGAAGCTTCCTGAATGAATGTAATATAAACTTGTAGTTTTATGTGAAATGTTTCACTGGAATTACCCACTTTTAATATGAGTGTGTTTGTTTAACAGGTTCAAGTTGTTCCAGCAGCAGGCAGAATTTGACTCTGTCTTTAAGTTCCGCCAAAGACAGAGGATCTCAGTCTTGTAACTACGCCAATGGGGGGCTTTTCAGTAAATATTCGGGTTCTGCACAGAGTTTGGGCTCTGTAAGTAAAAATGCGTTGCTATTTTTCTCATGTTTACTTATTTCTTGTTATCAGTTAGCTTAAGGGTCACACACATGTAACTTAGTATTGAAAGACCCTAAGACAGCATCTGGTTAAGTTTGTTCTTCAGGCAAATAAGTGCCCTTCTCTGGATAGTCCCCAGGGTCTCTGCATGGGTGGTGGAGTCCACGGGGTCCTGGGAGGCGGCCTGGATATAGGAGCACTGCTTCAGGACGAGGTCTGTGTGAGCAACCTGCTGACCCAGCCAGGCTTATTCTGGGCCATGAGGCCTCAAGGGTTCCCCCCAGCTCCTTTGCACCTTCCCCAGAAGTCATTGGTGAGCTCAAGGCCTGCCTGCTGTGTCAGAATATTGACTGAACAAGTGAGGAAGGACATTCACATCTATTTAAAGCTAATGGAGTCTAATTAACTTTAAAAATAGGTAGGAAGTGCACTCTCCCCTTAGTACAGAGCAGGCAAGACTACAAGATGAAAAATGTATTCTCTGTCCCCTCGGGCCTGTTCCTCGGGGCGAATATCAACAATTCCTGTTTATTTCTAGAGAGTATAGCACAAGCCTCTATCCACATGTCTGTTCCTTTCTCCTGCTAGTTTGCATAACACCGTACTCTGTTCTGGGTACCTTGTTTCTGTATTTTGCTGGAATGTATAGCTGTGTGTAGCTTTGCATTTTTTTAGTTAAAAAAATGTGATCTCACTATGTTGCCCAGATTTGTCCTGGACTCCTGGGCTCAGCTGATCTTCCTGCTTCAGCCTCTAGAGTATCGAGGGCTATTACAATATGCCACCATGTCCATCAGAAATACACTACCTTTTTCAAGGCTCTTCCAGGGTAAGGACATCTAGATAAAGGTCTGCAGACTCCACTTCTATGAAACTGAGCAGAATAATGAAGAATATACCTCGTCTATAATCTAGATGCCCTCAGAGTCAGAGTGGGCCTATTTAGAATATTCTCGATTGAAAGGTGAAGCTGGTTTTTTTTTTTGTTTGTTTACTTATTTTGTTTGTTTGTTTGACACAAGGTCTTGCTACCTACTTCAGGCCAGCTTTGAACTCATTGTGCAGTGCAGGTTGGCCTTGAATTTGCTGCCATCCTCCTGCCTCAATCTCCTGAGTGTTGGGATTCCAGATGTGCACCACCATGCCCCACTTTTCTCTGCCTGGCTTTTTCCTCTCAGGCAATACCATAGATGCCTGTATTGGGCTCATGGCAGCAGCATTGCTAAGGAGGGAATGGCCCATAAAACTTGGCAGCTGGGTCTGAATGTGGGAAGAGCCAGGTGTACTGGTGCATGCCTGTAATCCCAGCGCTTTGGAGGCTGAGGCAGCATTGCTGTAGTTCAAGGCCAGCCTGGGCTATGCAGTGAGTATTGCTGTAGTTCAAGGCCAGCCTGAATGACATAGTGAGACCCTGTCTTAGAAAAACGAAGATAAAAAAAGATATGGGAAGACATGCGGAAGATGAGTTCTGTTTTTGAGAAATTATGGTAGTGGAAGTAGCATTAAGTGAGCTTGAGAAGAGAGGAGTTTTTCCTGTGGGAAGGGGCTGAGGTGCTTTTATGATAGAGTCACTTTGAGCTGCTGGTGGAAAAGCAAAGTGGAATTACCAGTAGCTGATGAAAAGTGGTTGTAGGATTTCCAAAAGAAGACATAACTGGAATTAGGGGTTTGGTAGTCACCCACATTGAGGCAGATAAGATGATGGGCTTAGTGGGCCTTACGAGAGTAGGACTTGTGTGACAGATACTTTTAATCATTTAGCAGAGCCAGCGTGGCCAGAAATTCTAAGACCATATCTGGGTATCCGGCCAAGAGTTCTGATTGTCAGTCTCAAGAATGCGGTGAGAAAAATAAGAAACAGACAAGTATCGAATTCAAACAATGGCTGGGAAGTCAGCGTATCTGGCTCCCAAAGCAGCCACTGTTTATTAGCCGTATACAGTGATAGGTGGGGTTAGCAAAAGATTACAATTCATCCAATACTCCAACTCCAGAGGGCATGGATAATTTAGAGGTATCTTATCGTGGAATATAATCCTGAGATGATTTAAGAAGCCATAGATGATCTTATGCTTGGAAGAGTCAATGGGAAATCTCAAATGGATGGTACCATAATCCCAATTTTTCCTTTTATCCCATAAAGAAATATGCAAAACCAGTCACTGTGAATTTGTGATCCCCAACAGGTGTGGTGGCATGTGCCTAGAATCCCAGAACTCAGGAGTTGAGGCAGGATTGCTGTGAATTTGAGGCCAGGTTGGGCTACAAAGTGAGATCCCATTTTAAAGAAAAGGAAAAAAAGTTCTGAAAGTAGAATGAGCTAGCTAAGCCCGATTTTTGATGCAAAAATCAATTTATGTTCAAAATATTGTTCTACTTGTATACTTTTGAACAGAGACTTGGAATAATTAGGGTCATAGGCACCTTAACTGGAATGAAGTCAGGATTATGTAAGGTACAAATCACATGGGTTGTTTTATTAGGAATAAGATTATTAATAAATTGAGGATATTAAAGATCACAACATGCTGTCCAAGAGAAACTTGGAAATAATGTCTGTGCATCTTAATTTTAGGTCCAGAGTGTCAATTCTTGTCACAGCTGTGCTTGTGGCAATTCCAACTCATGGGACAAAGCAGATGAAGATGATGTTAAACTTGTTAATATTCCTGTGACCACTCCTGAGAACTTGTACTTAATGGGTAGGAATGCTATGGTAAAATTTTAAAATATCATGCTCATATTTAATTTGAAAGTAAAAAAAGTAAGTTCTGAGAAAAACAACTATGGTTTTAAATGGTTTTTCTATGTGTTGAGTCAAGCTGCATATTACATACTACCGTACCAATTGTGTTTGTTTTCTGAGGGTGCTATAACAAAGTACCATAAACATGGTGGCTTGAAACAACAAAAATTTATTCACTCAGAGCCCAGCAGTCTTAGTGCATTATGACTGAGCTAAAATCAGGTGTCAGAACTTCTTGCCTGTTCCTTCAAAGTGAAGGGAAAAGGCATTTCTTGCCTCTTCCAGTGCTGGTGGCTGCCACCATTCCTTGTCTTGTGGCCACATCACTCCCTCTCTGGTCTGTAAGCCACATCATGTGGCCACTTCATCACAGATAATAAAACAATCTGGGCAAGAGACCCGTGGGTCATTTATACTTATCTCTCATCTCTTGTTACAGTTCCCTTTACAGAACAGGTGGCCTTAAGAGGATTGGTGGTATATGTTTGACTTCCTCTTATAAAACTGCTGACTGCTTATGAAACAGTCTGAGTCATGTTCTGTGATGACTCCGTGTGCTTCCCAAAGAAGCAGCATTATCTCTGGGCAGGTTTGCTGTTAGGTAATTCTTCCTGTGCTCATTGAGAGTAATTGGATGGATAGAGAAGACAGAAAAAAAGAAAGGATGAAGACTTTGGAGTTAGTGCAGAAATGAGGGTGGATATCATTTTTTTTATTTAAAGAGAAAAAAGAAAGGACATAAAAAAACAAAGCAGTAGAAGGGTAATACAGAATTATACAGTAATACAGTATAATTACAGTATTACAGTAATACAGAATTTCAAGAAAAGGTATTACAGTAATACAGAATTTCAAGAAAAAAAATACACAGTAAGAAATCACTAGTTAATAGGTTACATATTATAACCTAGAAACAGTTGTCCAAATTACAAAATTAAAGCATTTAAAGTGGACATTCATACAGTGATATTGGAGACAGTTCCGTTCAGTGATCCAACAAAAGCTCAGTAATATAGGGTGGATATCATTTTTAAAAATAGAATAATGGATATAATTGTTTTGTAGAAGCATAAATTTTTAGGATGAAAATCGAAATGATGTTCTTTGTCACAGAACATCAACAGGAAACAAAGGCCTACATTGCTTTTGAAGATTTTGTTTAGGGTTCTAGATCTACAGATAATAATTGAAGAAATAATGACGTTAAGAGAAGAGATTTTCTTCATATACTGTATCCTAAAAACCTTTTGAGAATGTCTTATGTAGGTTTTTCTTTTTCTTTTTCCTGAAACAAAGTCTTGCTCTGTAGCCCAGGATGGCCTCAAATTCACAGCAGTCTTCTTGCCTCAGTCGCCTTTGTCCTGGGAGTGTGTGTGCCACCCTCCCTGATTTGTCTGGATTCTTTAGCAGTTTTTTTTTTTTAATAGAGAATTGAACCAAACAAAATAAAACAGAATGCCAATCAGAATAGAACAAAGAAAGTGATACAAAACTTCAGAATAAGACAATAGGAAATCAACAATGGCTACCATAATACCTCTTGTTTTCTTCCAAATAGCTGTCTATACATCAGACATTATAAAATCAAACAAAAAACAATAAAACCAATCAAAACAAAACAATGAAAGCATTACAGGACTTCAAAAAAAATTTTTTTTGGACTTCAAAATCTTGAGTGGCTTTTTAAAGACCTTTTTCTATGTGTAGAAAACTTGAAGTTTTTGTATATATATAATCTTATTGAGACAAGATTTCATGATGTAGTTCAGGCTAGCCTTAAACTCACTTTTTAGCTCAGCCTGGCCTCCATCTTGCAACAATTCTCCTGCCTCAGCCTCCTGAGTGCTGGGAAAACAGGAATGTGCCACCACACCTGGCTCTGAAGTTGTACTATATTTGATTGTGTTTGAAGTACATAGTTATTTTGATAAGCCTTTGCTTTTTCACTTGGAGAAAAAAGAGGTGAGTCACTCTTTTTTCTCCCATAAAAATTTTCTCTAAGGAAGGTAATGAAATTCTTACTTGGACTGTAGCCAATGCTTTATGAATATCTTGCAGATTTTTAATTCTGGCCAACCAAATTATCCACCTAAATCAGCAAAAAAGAGGTAATAGTCGTTTCCCTACCATCTGGGAAAAAATGTGATACAGGCTTTTTTTCTTCTTGGTTTTTTGAGATGGGGTCTTATGTAGCTCCAGCTGGCTTTGTGTTTTTTTTTTTTTTTTAATTTTATTTTGAAAGTAGTAAAATACAACAGAACAAGACAGAATAAAGCCAACTAAGATTGTACAGTGAAATTGGTACAGAACTTCACAGCACGTTACCGGGATAACAGTGATAGGTATCACAGTATATTTCATTATCTTTACAATAGTTGTTCTTTCAATCATGTATATCAAATACAGAATCATAAAAAATCAAATACAGAACATTATAAAACTTATCAAAACAGAAGATTGAATAGAGCAGTACCATTAATCAGAATAGAGCAAAACAGTAATAAAAATATTTGCCTTTAAAGAAATGGTAGAAGGAAATCCCCCTTACTTGCTACGGTCAGCCTCCCAGGAGATGCTCAGATTTCTGGTTCCCATTTGCTAACAGGGGGACAGGAAAAGCGGAGTTGAAAAGTGGGGTGTTTGACTCTAGGCCGTGCACCTGTAGGTTCACTATTGCTTAGCAGGGAGGCAGGCTGGTTGCTTGGTTTCTCTGGCTGGCTTTGAACTAACTGACTGTGTAGCTCACTCGGGCTTCAGATTTCCAGCACTCCTGCCTCAGCCTCCTGAGTGGTGGGTGGTATTATAGGTATGTGCCACCAAGCCTGGCCACATTTGAGTTATTTTTATTTTTTAATTTTTATTTTTTGGTACAGGGGATCAAACTATGACCTAGGTGCTTATGCTGCTGAGCTAAATCCCTGGCCCATTGAGTTATTTTTAAAAAAATAACTCGCGCCCCCACCCAAAAAGAAAGAAAACATGGTGACCAGTTTTTCTCTTGAGTTTTGGTGGGTTGGAACTGTAGGCCTAGGGGGCTGGGGATTTAGCTCAGCGAGTTCGATCCCCAGTACCCATAAAAATGAAAAAGACAAAAAAAAAAAAAAAAAAAAAAAAGAACTGTAGGCCTAGAATATTGGGAAATTAAGATTCTATCATGAAATAATATGAGTCTAAAGTTATTTTTTGGTGCCAAAATCACAGGAAGACTATGCTGTTGCTGATAATGTATGGAAACATTACAGAGTGCAAATAACTTTATGTTAGCGTCTTTTTTTTTTTCCTGAGCGATTGTCCTGTTCTTACTTTCCAGGCATGGAGTTGTTCGAAGAAGCGCTGCGTCGGTGGGAGCAGGCCCTCACCTTCCGCAGCAGGCAGGCTGAGGACGACTCCTGCAGCTCCATTAAGCTGGGCGCGGGTGACGCCATTGCCGAGGAGAACGTTGATGTAAGGAGACTGGGTGGAGACTGCCTCCTTATTGGCAGAGCTGACTGTCCTCAGTGTGACCACAGCACCCTTGATCTCATTGACATTTAGTAGAACTTTTCTTTCTTATCTTCCTTGGGCTGTGTGAAGGACTTGATGTTTTCTGTTGAGTTACTTGTCATTCATCCCAGTGGCTTGCTCTCTGTATCCTAGGAAGTTCTTTTCAGTGCTTGGATCAGACCTAGGGTTCACTAAACCACACCCTCATTCCCACTCCCTCTGCTTTTGAGTCAGGATCTTGCTGCCAAGGCTCCCTGAACCTTGGTGTCTTCCTGCCTCAGGCTACCTAGAAGCTGGGTGTCAGGTGTGGGCCACTGTGCCTCACCTTGGGAAGTTTTGAAAAACCTGTTTTGTATTTTGGTTTTGCTTAAGTGTTGTTATATTTATGAAGTCACCTAGAGGAGGAACTGGACTAATTCTTACGGGTCATTTTGGTAAACTACTAATTCTCAAACTTGGGAGTATGTGGGAGTCTCCTGGAGGGCTGCTGATACAGAGGTAGGGACTCCATGCCCAGGTTTGTAATTCATTAGGATGTGGTGGCTCCAGACAACTGCATTTGTATCCCCAGATCACAGAAATGCTGCAGGCCTGGAGACCCTCCTCTGAGAAGCCTGGAGCCAGTCCGGCTCCTTCATTTTCAGATAAACTGAATCCCTGAGACCTGAAATCATTTTGCCAAAAGCACAATTAGAACCTAGATCTCATAGCTTCCATTATGATGCTCTTCTTCCTACTGCCTAACAGTAGTTTTTTATGTCCTTCTCTTTCCCTGCTTTTTACTTAAAAATAAACATTGCCTGTGTAGAATTTTAATGTTGCTGTATGTTCTCTTGGCAGGACATTATCAGTACTGAATTCATCCATAAACTTGAAGCTCTGCTGCAGAGAGCGTATCGTCTTCAGGAGGAGTTTGAAGCTACCCTCGGGGGATCTGGTCCTGATTCCCTTGCCAATGATACTGGTAAGATGGGTTGATTTATTTCTGTGGTTTTAAAAATTTTTATCGGAGGGGCTGGAGATTTAGCTCAGCGGCATAAGCACCTGCCTTGCAAGCAGGCGGTCGTGAGTTCGATCCCCGGTACCGATAAAAATGAAGAAAAAGACAAAAAAAAAATTTTATTGGTACATTTTAGATATGCATAATGATGACATTCATCATAGGGAATTTGTACCTGATACACATCTTGCTGCTGTCTTTTTTTTTGGCTTTTTGAGACAGCATCTCATTGTGTAGCCCAGGATGGCTTCAGACTCACAGTGATCCTGCTGCTTTAGCCTCCCAAGTGCTGAGATCATAGGTGTGCATCACCATACCTGGCTTATATAACAGCATTTTTTTTCCCCTGTGACGGGGATCAAACTCACGACCTTGCACTTGTAAGGCAGGTGCTTATGCCACTGAGCTAAATCCCCAGCCCCTTACACCAACATTTTTGTTGGCTTTTGTATTTTATTTTATTTTTTAGAGGGGCATTATTTCCTATTTTAAAGAGAAAATAACAGTCAGGCAGGTGGCACATGCCTGTAATCCCAGCACTCAGGAGACTCAGGCAGGAGGATCATTGTGAGTGCGAGACCAGCCTGGACTGCAGAAGAGTTCAAGGTCAGTCCAAACTGCATAGTGAGACCCCGTCTCAAAAAGACAAAAAAAAAAAAAAAAAAAAAGAAAGAGAGAAAAGAACTTTGAGAAAATTCTTCAGTACTTTTTTTTTTTGAGACTAGGTCTTGATGTGTAGTTCAGGCTGGTCTTTGTCTTACAAAGGCTGGTCTTACAAAGCTTTTTTTTTTTTTTTTTTTTTTTTTTTTTCTTTTTCATTTTTATCGGGACCAGGGATTGAACTCACGACCGCCTGCTTGCAAGGCAGGTGCTTATGCCGCTGAGCTAAATCCCCAGCCCTTTTACAAAGCTTTTAAACAGAGAACCAGGTCTTGAACTTGCCATGGTCCTCCTGTGTCAGCCTCTCAAGTGCTGGGATTATAGGAATGCACCACTATCCCTGGCTTTTCTTCAATTAAATCTTTCTTAAAAAGTTTTTTATTAGTATATGGTTGCAGTTTGTAATGATTATACATCATGGGTGAAGTGGGTTCATAAACAATATAGGAATCCAAGCAACCAAAGTGATAAATTTGGAATTTAATTAGCTGAGCTCAGTGACCACTCAAATAGACCCACTTCAGTCTCACTGAGTGGCCCTGAACTGGAAAATTACAAAGCTTTTAAACAGAGAAAAAGATAAAAAAAAAAAACAAAAACAAAACAAAAAAAAAAACTTAAACAAAGCTTTGAAACAGAGAACCACAAAAAGACATCCTGTTGGAAACAATTTAGCTAGAATCTTACATTAATTTTGGTTGACACCTATATCCTGCTTCTTTTGTTGAGCAGGTTAATTTTTCTCTTGTAGGTACAGCTCATTCTGCTTTTCTCATGGGACTTACACCCTGAGTAATTTTCCATTTTGCTGAGTCAAATACAGGCCACTAGTTAAATGCAGAACTCGAGATGGTGTCAGTTATGCCAAGCTACAGCAATGAGAATTTGGCACATGTGCATAATACATCTTAATTCTCTTTACCTTCTCTTTGAGAGGCCTAAAACAAAGGAGTAATTAAAATTGTTCTTCAACTTCTGTAAATGTTCTAAAAGAGTGAAATAAGACAAAATCATGTTTTTTTACTCAAAAATAATTTAAATCTAGTATAGTGGCCTCAGCCTATAAACCTAGCTATACAAGGGAGGCTAAAGCAAGAGGATCACAAGTTTGAGGCCAGTCTGGTCAATTTATTAAGACCCTGTCTCAAAATAAGTTTTTTCTTTTTCGGGGTAAGACAGGGTCTCCTGTAGGTTAGCCTGGCCTTTAGCTCACTATGTAGCCCAGGTTGGCCTCAAACTGGTGGCAAATCTCCTGCCTCAGCCTCCAGAGGGTGGCATTATACTCAGCATACTTTCAATTACCTTTAATCTATGCTTTCTCATAATATTATTGTCACCAAATATTATTTGTGTGACAGGTATTTTTAATAGTTTCTTATTAGTATAGGCAATGCTTTGATACATCTAGCAGATTTTTTTTTTTTTTTTTGTCTGAGGCAGGGTCTCACTGTGCTGTGCAGGCTGGCTTTGAGCTCAATTTGTAGCCGAGGTTGGTCTCTAACTTGCAACAATCCTCCTTCAACCTCACAAATGCTGGGATTACAGATGTATGTTACCATGTCCCGCTCTTATCTGGCAAATTTCAGACCAGGAAAAAAAAGTTGGTAATATTCATGACAAAAAGTATAATTTCCCGGGTTGGGGGTTTAGCTCAGTGGCACAAGCTCCTGCCTGGCAAGCATGATGAGGTTACGAGTTTGATCCCTGGCACCAAAAATTTAAAAAAAAAAATTTTTTTTAAATGTAATTTCCTGGCTGGGGATTTAGCTCAGTGGCATAAGTGCCTGCCTGGCAAGCACAAGGTCATAAGTTCGAAACCCAGTACAAAAAAAAATAAAGTAATTTCCTGTAATTCCAGCAATTGGGAGGCTGAGATAGAAGAATCTCAAGTTTGAGGTCAGCCTGGGCTACCTAGTAACTTTTCAGGGCCAAGTGCTGTCTCAAAAAAAGAAAAGGAAAGTAAAGAAAAAAAATGTACAATTAAAACTTTATTTTTCTATAATTCATCTTATAATTTTCTTTATTTTTTTTCTGGGTACATCAGTCTTGATTGGAGGTTATTTTCTTTCAGGGCTTGGACTATTCCCCAGGCTCTTCTCGATTTGAGAGTTTGTGCTGATGTCTGTCGTTATTTTGATAATTTTTTCTTTGTAGGTAATCTGCTTCTTTTCTCTGGCTGCTTTTAATATTCTGTTCTTGTGGTGGATTTCTGGAATCTTGATTATTACATGTCTGGGTGTAGATCTGTTTTGGTTGTAGGTGCTGGCGGTTTTTTTTGGGGGGGGGGGGTCTTTTTCTTTTTTATCGGTACCAGAGATCGAACTCACGACTGCCTGCTTGCAAGGCAGGCACTTATGCCGCTAAACTAAATCCCCAGCCCTGGTGCTGGAGTTTTGTATGCCTCTTTTATCTGGTATCATTTCTTTTTCCTATGCTTGGGAAGTTTTCCTTAATTATATCTGTGAATATTCTTTGTAGTTCATTTGTAGTTGCTCCTGCTTCTTTGCTCACGTTTTTTATTCTTAAGTTATAAATCCTCTTGTCATCTTCTAGCCTTTGTATTGTTTCTTCCTGGTTCCTTGTTATTTTTAAGAGAACTTTTCTTTCATGATCACACACCATAAACCTTTCTTCAAGTTTCAAAAGGCTAGCTTTAGTTTCTGTCAAGGCATTTTGCCAGCTTTCAATGGAATTTTTAGTTTCCTGGTAATCTCTTTGGATCTGTTTCATGCATTCTAGATTTTGTTTATATTCTTCATGAAAGGTTTCGTTTCTCTTCCTTTTCTGAGTTCCTCCATTCTTCTGTGTTCTCTTGGGAGGGGCTTCTCATTTCTTTAATTAATCTTTGTATATCTTGCCTCACTTGGATCAGAAGTACAGTTTTAAATTCATCTATGAGGTCATGAAGGTATTTCTTTATGTCCACTGAAGCTGTTTCTAATATTGCATGATTACTGCACTGTTTCTCTTTTGTATTTATTGTCCCTGGGCTTATTTTTCCAGGGTCAGCAGCTGGAGGCTTTTTTTTATTTCTATCTCTTATCATGTTTCTGGTTTCTTTCAAACAGGTGTGTTCAGGGGGTCTCTGGCCCTCTCTGTATTGCTTACGGTCTTTTTGAAGCATTCTGACTGGGTTTTGCTGCCCTCCCCAATTTGCTGTTATCTGAGGTATCTTAAACTCCCTCCCAGGGGCTTGGGATGGTGCGGGGACACTCACCTAGGCCGCCCAGTCCAGAGTTCAGGGTGCAGGCAGGCAGGCCTAATTCCCCAAAGCTGGTCGATCATGGCGGGAAACCGGAAAGTTCTGGTTCTGTATTTTTGATTATTGTCTGAAGAGGTGTTTTCAGAAGCAGCTTCTCTGGGCTCTGTTCACCACTGTGGCTCTGTGGGGCTCCAGTTGTGTGGGCCTGGCAGCAGCAAAGACACATTCACCCGCCTGGGGACCTTGTGGGGGGGCCCTCCAGTGGCAGGGGCCTGCTCAGTGCCAGCACTGCGGGCTCGGGGCAGTGGTGATGGGGGCGGGAGTAGCCGTGGGCTCCCAGTCACTTCACTCCCCTAGCCTCTGGTGGGCCCCTGGCGACAGAGTCAGAGGAGATGGCTGGAGTCGATGGTACGCAGGGATGGCCTGTCTCGCTGGTGTCCTGGAGGCACTCAGGGCTGCACAGTGGCATATCCAGCCAGGAGTGTATGTTTGATTGGTTTTTCTCTCTTTTTTTTTCTTTTTCTTTTTTTATCGGTACTAGGGATCGAACTCACGACCACACACTTGCAAGGCAGGCACTTATGCTGCTGAGCTAAATCCCCAGCTGATTGGTTTTTCTCACCTTAGTTTCTTCTTGGGATGAGAGAATTCCTCTCCCTTTGTTGGGGCTCTTGGTGTTGTATTATGTTGAGTTCTAAGTTGACTCTCTCAGGGAGCCTCTGTAGCTATCCACCATCTTAGCTCCGCCCCCCCAAGTGTTGATTTCTCAGTGAATACTTTGTTACTTTGAAAATGCTTTGTCTTATTTGATGAAATTTCTTTTAAGAACTTGATAGACTCCCAAATAATTGATTGTACATTAAAAATATGGCTCAGCCAGGCATGGTGATGCACTCATGTAATCCCAGCATTCCGGAGATCGAGGATTGTTGCAAGTTCAAGACCAGCCTGGGCTACAAAGTGAACTCAAGGCCAGCTTGAACTGCATAGTGAGACCCTGTCTCAATCAAAAAACAAAAACAAAAAACCACAAATGCTTGAAAAAGCCAGGCATAGTGGCACATGTCTATAATCCCAGTACTCAGGATGTTGAGGTAGGAGG